TTTCACAATAAGGATATTTTAATGTTTTTTGGCAGCTTAGTCACATGGTGCATTTTTATTTATTTCATATTTTTTAAAAAATTAGTTTACAAAAGGAAAGCGACAAACAACAAATGTTCAAGGGAAAATTTGCTAAAAATAATGGTAAAGTTTAAAAAGAAATTTTAAATGAAAAATACTGATGTTGAGAAAAGGGCAATTTGATCAAAAATATTCCCCAAACAAACCAACTTATGTTTCAAAAATATTGACCAAATAAAACTTTTAAAAAGTATAAAAAATATTATTGATCTAAGAAGGGGGGGGGGGAGAGACTGCCAAGCCCTTTACACCACAAAGCAGCAAATTAGCAAATAAAAAAGACTTATTTTACTGCATTTTCTATATTGTAGTACCTTGCATAGCCACCAGATGGCACTGCTCTCACAAAAACACTAGGACTTGCCTTTCTCTATACAAATGGGAAAATGTAATGCCATAAACTAGCATTAAAGGGGAAAATAAAGTCCAATTGCAACACAGCTCTGTGTTATCTACACCTCAAAGCATGTTAACCTTTTGGGAATTAGAAAGCTCATATGTGGGTGCGTATGCAGGAGGATGGGACTGTGGTTGTGTCTGTGCAACTCAGCACAATGGGACCCTGATCTCAGCTGGGGCAGGGATTGTCTCACTGTGTGTCTGGGCAGCGCCCGGCCCAATGGGACTCAGACGTTTACCGGGGTCTCTGGGTTTATATTAATCTACATAATAATACCTGGCAGCTGGCTGGGCTCTGGATTTTCCAGGCAGACATTAACAACAATACATTTAGATGGCGGAGGTCCATAGTGCTGAATGTCCATGACCACAGTGTATGGCTTTGTTCCAGGAGTCTGAGAGAGTCACAGGATGATTATTGATCTGGTGCAGCCAGCTTAATTGTGGGTGGGACAGACTGTACCCCTATGTTCATCCTTTTTACAAGCTAACGATAATTTTTGTACAAAGTATGCCTTGTGAGGTATCATTTGAGAACTCGTAATCTGCTGAATATTATTGTCTGGGTAAAATATTTGCAGTATCATTGTTTGTATATGTATATGATTCTACTGTATAACATCACTGTGACATATTCCAGAGTTAGAAAATCAGGCCCAAACCTGTTCTTCAGAGACAAAGACACATTGGTGTCCCAGGGAGATATCAGCATAATCAAATGAACTATCATGGACTATCACCTAGTTAAGCGGCCACTCTTTGGGAGGAAGAAGGGTGTGAGCAAGAACTTTACATATTGGCAACGGAAACAGCTGGACGTCCTGTGTAAGCAGACTGGCTGTCGTCTGAACCCCAACTGGAGATAATCCTCAAAGAAGGGAGAATTGTTTAAAAATAGAGAACGCACACAACACAAATTACTTCTCTCCCCCCATCGCAGCTACAATGTTTGAAAGACAAAGGAAGCATCATTGAACAGTGTGAGAGGTCCTGGCTGAAGCAATCCAGCCAGACTGCTGGCAGCTTATGGTGAGAGAAATGTTTTTGCTTTGAAGTTCATTTAGCTTGTTGAGTTAAGCATTAGCAGGTGGTTTATCTTTTTACTTTCTTTGTAACCAATTCTGACTTTTATGCCTCAGTACTTGTAATCACTTAAAATATAGTTTTCTATAATAAACTTGTTTTATCTAAATCCAGGGATCATGCATGACATCATCACCTTTTGAACATGTGCACCAGCTCCTGAGAGTGGCTTCTCATTCTGGCACGCA